AGGCTTTGATGAAAGTGTAAGGTTTTAATTCGTTTTTCTAAACACAAGTGATAGCTTTATTAGAAGTCGATTAATAGAAATAATTTATAGCAACAGTTATCACCTCCAATACACCTCTCATAATTGGGAGCCTTTCCCATTTACCACAGTAAACAGCTTATAGGATTTAATATAAATAGAACATTTCTATTAAAAGAACCCATGTCAATTTCCACAAATCTGGGGATTGTTTTATGCATGCATGTGTGTGTGTGGTTATGTCGTGTATAGATGGGTATGTACACAGACCAGACGTATTATCTCAGGAAGGCCCCTTAAAAGTGGGATCTCTCATTGGCCTGAAGCTCACCAATTAGACTAGACTGACTTGCCAGTCCAAAGGTCCTTCTGTCTGGCTCCCCAGCCCTGAGATTAACAAGTGTGGACTACCACAGTCAGCATTTTAAAAAGATTGACTTGTGTATTTGTCTGTGTGAGTATATGTACACATACATGCATATATAGGTGGACTTTGAGTCCCGGAGAGAATGTTGGACATCCTTTTGTAACATTTTCCACAGTTCAAGACTTTCTAAAAATAAGTCCATAATTCAATAAATCACTCCTGAAATAGAAGATGTGAGAATTAAGATTGTATGTATGAAAAACTTCACCTAGCACTGTCAACAGGATGCTCATCCAAATGTTATTATAAAAGGAAAAAATAATCAAGTTAGCATGAAAATGTTCAACATCATAAACCAATAGGGTAACAGCTAGAATATAGTCACAGAAAGATGTCAGACTTCTTATAACCAACAAAATTGTGCTTCAAATATAAAGGTCAAATCCACATGAACTTAAGCGAACACTATAGCTTACTGCAGATTCTTCTAAAGGATGAATGTGAGCCAACCAAAAGATGGTGGAGAACACTAGAGAGAGGGGACTAGGGCAGGAAGTTACAAAGTTAGAGGAGGCTCACACACCTGCAATCTCAGCATTTGGGAGATGGAGGCAGAGAGATCTGGAGTTCAAGGCTAGCTTCAACTGCATAGTAAGTGGGAGATGGCCCAACGGGTAAGAGCACCTGCTTCCCATACATGAAGGCCTGAGTTCAAATCCCAGCATCCATATGAAAAGCAGGGCATATGATACTGTAACCCATGCACTGGACAGATGGAGAGGCAGACCCTGAGAGCTTACCAACTGGGAAATGAGACAGAATGTGAGAAAGACGCCCGAGGTCCTGGTGTGGCCTCTACATGTATTTTCACACATTATTGTGTGCAACAAACACATGCACACAAACTTTTCTAAGGATGAGTTAAACCCATGTACTAATGCACCTACAGTATAATGGGTCTGATCATTTAGTAGTAAACAGTCTTACTGCAAAAACTGGGGAGCTGCAGCCAGCAAGCTTCCCTACCAGCACAGCGGAGCTTCACGTAGCACAGGGCCAAGGGACCATCTTGAAGGTGCTCATAAACAGTAGGTGGGGATCTCCTCAGCTGCCTTGACGGTCTCTGAACTAAATACACTGAGTAACTTCATATGAAGCTGCCCTAGTCCAAAGTGTGTTTACTTTCTAAATTAACCTTGTGAGGTATTTGATTGTACATGTTCATGTGTATGGAGGAGGGCAAAGTCAGCACTGGGTATCATCCTCAGTTGAGACAAGGTTTCACTGAATCTGGAGCCAGCCATGTCTAGACCAGCTGGGATGACAGGTACTCAATGTCACACCTTGGCTTTTGATCTGGCTGCTCAAGATCAGAACTCAGGTCCTCAGGTTTTCCTAGCAAGTGCTTTGCTGAGCCAACTCTAGCTCCTTTTGAGACAGATTCTTGCTATGTTGTCCAGCGTGGCCTCAAATTCTCATCATCCAGTTTTAGCCTCTAGTAAACCAGCATGCACATGCTACCATAGCTGGCTTACTGAAACACTTAGATCATACCCGGGGACATTCCCTTATCCTTTCCTGGGCTGTTCCTAATTTTCACAAATCTGTTTTATCCACCTTAAATTTGAGAAAAATGAGGCAGGCAAGATGGCTGAGCAGGTAAAGGTACCTGCTATCAAGCCTGATTACCTGAGTATGAACTCCAGAACCCACATGGCCCTTTGCCTGTGTGACACACATACACGAATGTGCACATGAAAAACACTGAAATGTAATAGTGTACTTGGACACAGGACAAGTCAGTGGTGGTAAGGACGGCTCACAGGAGGACTCCATGTCAGGAAGGGGCACTAACACTTGTTTTCTAGTGTAAAAGACTTGGGTACACAAAGCACACAAATCATTAACCAAGGCAGGGAGTATTTACAATGGATTGAATCACTTCTGTTCAAGTCTGGCAGAAAAACTGCTGGGAAGGCAAAGAATGGCCACAGATGCATTTTGAAGGATACCTGCTGGTGTATGACTCATGGCAGGCAGAGCACCTGCATAGCATCTATGAGACTCTGGACTCGATACTCAGCACTGAACTGGAGGGGCAAGAGTATTAGTCCTGATTAAAACCAGGAAGACATGCCATGATGCCGAAAGAGGCAAGGAGTGAGGTGAGGTTAGTAAATGATGCCCTTCTGTGCTGCACAGCGCAGCCCTCACAGTCCAGGCTTCAGGGCGACTGCTGGTGCAGGCTACACGCCAGGCTGTGGGAAGCCTGCGATCTTCAGTAGTCTGCTTGGCACATACAGACGGCAGCTGTGCTTGTCTTCTAAACTGACAGGAGATCCAAGAGGCAGAGCAGATGAAAAGGTGGAAGGAAAGACTTGAGAAAAAGTATTATTCTACAGAAATTCAAGACGATTACCAGCCTGTCACTCAGCAAGAATTCCGAGAGTAAGTATTTGTGACATGTACCAACTAGGGTACATGGGACACCAGGATATGCAGAGTGAGGACATAAGTTATATACACTGTTTTCTTGAGCCAGAGTCATATGTGCTATACCTAGTTCCTTTTCATTTTCTGCAGTTTCAAAATTAAAAGTACACAACTCCATTTACTTAGACCAGGGGGCTGTAGGGATGGCTCAGTAATGAATAGCACTGGCTGCCCTTCCTGAGGACCCAGGTTTGATAGCTCACATTCTAACTCCAGTCCCAGGAGACCAATGTCTTCCTTCTGACCTCTCTAGCGCCAGGCATGCATACGGTGCATACATACACAGAGGCAAAACATACACAGAAATGTTGAAAAGTGAAATGCTGTGTTCCACCTCTGGATGAGGGGCACAGCAGACTCCCTCACAGCTTTGCATCAACAGCCTCCACTGGCCTGTGGGATGTGCTTTAGGAGCTTGTCACCCTATCTCCCTCTCAACATACAACAGACAGTAATAAGCCACTGTCTACTTCTAACCTCTCTCCTAGACTCTTTCTGTATGCGGTGGAGCTTGAGAAGGAGTTACATTACGTCAGTTTAAAACTGAACCAAGTGATGAGAAAGCTACACTAGCAGGCTGACAAGTGGAGGTAAGACTGCACAGGAGCCAGCACCCTAGTAAATACTGGGGCATTTACTGTACTGTCCCCTAAACATGCCACCCTCACGGCATATGTCATTGTTCTCGCACAGTGCTGGGGACTGAGCACAGCAGCCTGCACATGCTAAGCACTGAGCACACATCTGCAGCTGAGATGTATTTTAAAGGCACTGAGCCACTATCACTTAGGATGAGTTCCGTGAGTTAAGTGCAGTTTACGAAGTGCTTCCTGTATCTGGACATGGGCACACATAGGATGTTTGTTACAACTAATAAATTCTGGGGTTGTAGAAGGGCAAGTACAAGTTAAAGCTTCTGACTCCTGGGGGCAGAGTTCTAACAGTTGGATGAGATGCAAGATGGTTCTCTCCTGGGTACAGAATACAAGAACTGTGTGGTAGTTTCAACCATATCATGCCCCAGGGTCTCACTTGCTTTAGACATAAGATTCTGAGAGGGTACTATATAGTATATCAACATAAAATAACCTCCATTCTACAAAACCTGAAACTACTAGAAAAAGTCAAATATAGAACTAACTCTGTGGTCAAAAACCATAAATCTAGAACAGCATTTTAAAAACTACGCATGTAAAGCTTGAGAACTTATGTATGGAAATTACAGAAGAGGGCGCTTTGAGAGCCGCCTTGTTGGAAAACTGTGTACGGCTGGTATTGTAGAGACTGAAGGAACTGTTACTCTTCCAAGTTCTAAACGTCCCTCAAGAGTAGCCAGGCTGTGTCCTGTGGGTCTGAGCTCCACCATACTCAACTGCAGCACTCAATTTACTCATTAATAATGCTCAGGGTATATATTTAAAGTATGAATAAGGCAAATATTTTAAAAATTAAAACTTTTGAGGTAAATTTAAAAAAAAAAAGGTTGCTCAGACTTGCCTTTGAAGTCCTGGGCTAGCTGGGACTAGAGGTATGGATATCACACCGTGCCTAGTAAACAAAGGAATTTAAAAATTACCACCCGCCGGGCGGTGGTGGCGCACGCCCTTAATCCCAGCACTTGGGAGGCAGAGACAGGCGGATTTCTGAGTTCAAGGCCAGCCTGGTCTACAGAGTGAGTTCCAGGACAGCCAGGGCTACACAGAGAAACCCTGTCTCGAAAAACCAAAAACCAAAACCAAAAACAAACAAAAAATTACCACCCACCTTCCTCAAAGCAAAGAGCATCCAGGTTTTTTGTTTTAGAATAAAGTAATTCACTGCAACAAAAAAATGACTGACTCTGGCACTGGAAGCAGAGAGGAGCAAGAGGTCAAGGTCTTTGGACCTACATAGCAAGTTCAAGACCAAGATAATAAAACTGTGTCTGGAAAATAAAAATGAAGGTAGTTTGGGTCTTCTCTCTGCAGCTCCTCTAACCAGTTCTAAGGAGCAGCACATGGACTTCTTCCTCTAACTCTGCTGGCCAAACTGTTGAGCAACCTGGTTGTGTCTCCTGACAGCATCACTGGGTAATTTAAATAAGTCTAGAACAATTAATACCTCCTAGAAAAACAAACATACATTTACAATGACTTAGAACAGTAAAGTTCTTTTATTAAAAAAGTCTGTACAATGAAGTGCCAAACAAACACAGCAATGTAATCATAAGATGGACACATATAGATCTGTATCTATATAGTATTTATATATAGATATAATTTTTATTTGTACCAAAGTAAAACTCTCACAAGCTGCCTAAGTATCCCCACTACTAACCGTGAGTCAGTATGAGCACATGGAGGCGTGTGAGCCACTTCACTACTCTACTCAGCCAAAACTAACACTCAACAACCAAATTAGGAAGCAGCTGTAACTCAATGAACCCAGTCAGGCTACAGACTTATAAAAATATTGTACTCAAATAGATTTAGCGTTATAGAGAAGGAATATATTATTTAAAACATTTAAATAGTGCACATGAACATTTTTGCATGTGGTATACAAAATAAAACATTCATAAAAATATACAGTGCACATAAAATTACATGTTGCAATCCTGTCTGGAAAAAAAATAAAAAGTACACCACATGATATGGGTTCAGATCAAATGATACATATTTTTGGCATTCTTAATTACTTTTCTAAAAATACATTATGAATGACCTAGCATTATCAAAAGGAAACCACAGAAACAAGGCTGGATGATGCAGTACTTAAAAAAAAAACCCTCCAACTACATATTCACTACTGCTGGATTTTTCCCTCTCCCCAAAAAAGGCATTGCACACACAAGTGAAATGTGAAGTACTTAGACACACTATTTATTATCAAACTACTTCCTGTCTTACTGTGTAATAATAGTGGCAGCGTTCAAGGTTCATGCTTTCTTCACCTTATTAAATGTTGTGAATTCCATTTGTATGAAACAAACTATTAAGAAAATCATGCATGAGTCATTACATGCAAAGCATGGGCAAAGTGAGACATTTATCAATTCAAAAAAGCACCGGAGTGGGGATGGGGTATGAGGGACAACCCACATCTGTCGTATTAACACAAGTTACTATCCCATAAAAGTGATTAGCAGATTAGCTGAAAAGCCATGCAAAGCCAAAGGAAAGAAAAGGTGCTGAGAGTCTACAGTAAGGACCAGAGCACTGCACACACCCCGTGAGTGGCTGCTTTAAACAGCAAGCTGCTGGGCGAGAGGTGGTCACGTGGAAGTGAAGCCCCTGAATAAACATGTAAAGCCGCAGTGGTCTAGCCCTTAGAGAACACACTGGGGTGTGCTCATTCTTTTGAGGCCCATCTGATGATGCACAGATCTGAGCACCGCCAAGTCCCTCCACACCGGCATGACTGTTTTCTCACATTATCTGGAGGTGGGTTGGGGACAGCACAGGGTTTGATCCAGACAAGTCAGCATTGGAAGCTGGTGACAGTAACTGAAGTCCTGTAGGCAGCATGTGATGTGACTCAGCTCTGTGAGTGATGTGTGCAATGTTGCAGTGACTACGCAAGGCTGCTTTATGCCCTACCTGCTGTTCTCTGCACTCAGTGCTGTGACCACTGAATTGCAAATCCTGGCTAAGTACTATCTGTGCAGGTACCACTTTGGAAATGACACAAAGGTGTTCCAATGCAGGATTTGAAAATTCAGTTTGGTTTTCTATAAAAAAACAATACATGTCACATTTATAGGCTATTCTTTTAAATTTTCAGTCATTTTGTAAGAAAAAGGCAACCAAAGAATTTCATTCAGTGTGAAGATTTTCCTCTCAATTTTCTTCAGTAATACAAAAGAAAAAAAAAGTAAATGAAAAGCTTTATATTTTGAAAGTTCTTGAAGTACTAGATGTATCTGCAGTGAACAGTGAGGGAGCCTGCATGTGTACTGAGTGGCGAGGACCTGCGGTGATGTGACAGCTTCCCTTGCCCTACTGGAACCACAAACAAGGACAACATGGCTTCTCTGAGTGTCTGACAAAGTGAACGAAAACGAGCCAAGTACACATGGTCAACTGTCAGGGAACACAATCACTTTATGATGTCAACTTTCAAGGAACATATATTATATGGATTTTGAAGAGTCTTGTTTGCTGATAAGAACTTCAAGAAGTCTAAGCTTGGCTTTAATTCTCTTGTACTCTTTATATTCCTCAAGCACTGGAACCCGATCCTCCTTCTGGGCATTCCTAGGGAAGATAAAACTCTGTCAAACACTCAGAAGCCTGTTCTAACATGGAGCATATTACAAATGTAAGCTGAAGTAAAAGCTGCTCTGGGCACAAGGCTATTGGACAACTTCACACAGCAAGACCTTCAGTGACTCTGTCTACTAACTGCTTAAATACTGTGACACACTGACCAGTAAGCGGGAGGGTCTAAGTGCTAGCAGGCTACCAGGAGTCATTTTATACATTTAGTAAACCATTCCACCAGTGGTCAGTTTAACTGAAAATGACAGCATCAAATTACCTCAAGTATAATTTTCTTTCAATATAAAGAAAAGTTGTATGGAAAATGCCTTTATATTTCTATTATACTTCTTTAGGAGTACATATGTTATACATATGTACATGCATAAGAGAAAGCCAGAGGTAAACCTTAAGTGTTCTGTCCACTTTGATTTTTGAGGCAGGGTTTGCTTGAAGCGTGCTGAGAAGCTAAGCTAGCTGGCTGTTAAGCCTACTGACACAGTACTTACATACCACCCCATCTGGCTTGGGCTCTGAGGATCAACCTTAGGTCCAGATTCTTCCCCAGCAAGCACTTCATTGACTAAGCCATTTCCCCCAGTTTTTTTTTTTTTTAATCATGTATGTTAACCATGTAAGTGTGAAACTCTAAAAAAGCAGCGGGAGTCAGGAGATGATTTGTTACAGCCACGGGTGTGGTAGGGTCATCCAGTGACCTGTGAGACTTTATTGATCTCAGTCCTACCACTACCTCCTCTTAAGTGTGTGTGCACAGGTACCTGCGGAAGCCACAGGAAGACAAACATTTGGTATTCTCTCTCATTTTTCACCGAGGAGCCTGAAGCTGCTGGGTTTTGGCTGGACTGGCTGTTCACAGGGATGTACCAAACTGTACCTCTCCCCAGCTCCCAACTCTAGGTGTACAAGTCAACTCTGCATACCAGGTAAAGGCATACGGCACTCGTGTCTAGCCACACACCTCCACCTCCAGAAGGAGAGATGTGGATAACCTGACAACTCAAGCTTATCAAAATAGAAAGGAATCCATCTGGGAGTAATGGTGTAGGCCGAGAATCCCTGAACTCAGAGGCAAGTGTGTCTCTTGAGTTTGAGGCCAGCCTGATCTACATAGTAAGTTCCATGACAGCCAGGGTTATGTAAAAACCCTGTCTCAAAAAAACAACAGAAAAACATTCCAGCCAAGGATTTGACTCCGACTGTGGGGTCTTTCCTAAGAGATGTCTTGTACCAGGCAGGATGGCTCCTGCAGGTAGATCTGTGTTCCAAGTTTGGAACACATAGCAAGTTCCAGACATGGCTGCAAAATGAGATCCCATTAAGTTTATAATCACTTCTAAACAATATAAAGTCATCACAGTCTGGTGGTATTTTCCTCACACATTTGAGCTCCAGTGCTACCAACAAGAAAACTGCTACAGGAAAACTTACAAAATATTTATGAGATGTTTACTCCAGTTATGACTTTTCCTTTACTTTAATAACAGGTCTTGAGAGCACACACACACACAGACAAAAATGTTATAAAACTGACCAAGAGAGGTGGTACATGCCTTTAATCCCAGCACTTGGTAGGCAGGTGAATCTCAGTTCAAGGCCAACCTAGTTAGTTCCAGGAGAGACCCTGCCTCAAAAAAAGTTATGAAAAAAAATTTTTTTTTAAAGTTTTTGTCTTTTGAAGTGCTGGGGATTGAACCCAAGGGCCTTGCACATGTTAGGCAAATGCTCTTGCACCAAGCTAGTCTTAACCCTGAAGTGTTACTTTCAAGGCTAACACCCTATAAGCAATATATCTGTAAGTTTTTCTTAGTGTGGGGACCATGCGGGCACATGTGCTATGACATACTTGTGGAGATCACAAGTTGGTTCTTTTCTTCCTCTATGTAGGTCTTGGGGATCAAGCCGGTACAGGCTTGTCAGCAAGCATCTACTCCTGTGTTTCTATGTATTCCACTATCTTAACATACATTTTATGAGTTAAAGGAGAAAGATGTCAACATCTACAATGTTTAACAAACCTTCCATTTTGTTGATAAAACACTTCTTCAAACTCCCGTAACGTTTTACGTAGTTTCTTTTTCTCAGCTCTGGCTTTCCAAAGTTGTTCCAGTAATTCAGGCCTGAAGTTAAAATGGTAACAAAACATAAATGGTAGTTTCCTCATTATAGCCCTGACTACTACAGCTTTTAGAAACATACAATCCAATCAAAATAACTGAGATTAAGGTTCCAGTCTCACTATTTAAACTCTTAACTGAGGCTGGGGAATTGCTCCATTGATAAAGGGGTTGCTGCACAACCCTGAGGAACCTGAACTCCCTCCTCAAGAGCCCACAGAAAAGCTCTGGGTGCAGTGTTGGGCACCTATAACCCCAACTCTTCAAAATCTCTGGCCAGCTAGTCATCAACAAGCCCCCATGTCAATAAGAGGTGCTGTTTTAAAAAAAGGGGTGAGGGGAGGGCGGGGAATGAGAGAGAACTCATTGGTTAAGAGTACTCACTGCCTGCTCTCCAGAGGACACTGGTTCAGTTCTTAGCACCCACAGAGTGTCTCACAGCTATCTGTAATTTCAATCCCAGAGGCCTGAAGACCTCTCTTGACCCTCAAGGAGCACCAGGCACACATATGGTGCAAAGACATAAATATAGACAAAGCACCCATACACATAAAAATAAGCAGGTGCTGGAGAAATAGCTCAGTATTTACAAACACATACTGCTCTTTCAGAAGAAGAGTTTGGTTTCCAGCACCTATGTGTCAGGCAGCTCAAAGTTAGCTTGTAACTCACAACAAGGGAATCACAATATAGTCTTCTGACCTCCAGAAGCCCTCAACACGTGTGTGAACATCCACACAAACACACACAATCAAATCCATTTACAGGTAAGCAGGCCAATAAAGAACAGATTCTCAGTTGGTTCCTATAACTTTGTTATACATTGAATACAACTTTTGATTGAAATACTTAATGAAATAGGAACCACAGCTGAGGAGATGGGCTTATTACCAAGTCAGAGTGCTTCATGACAAGCCCAACACTTGAGACTCATATAAAATGACAACTGACATGTTAAACATCTGTGATTCCAGCACTCTATGGCAATGCAAATGAGGTGGAGACAACACAAAATAGCAAAACAGAGGGTGAAAACCAACATGTAAGGCTGTCCTTTGACCTCCACATACACAATTTTAAAATGGAAAATAAGAAAATGGAGTCTGGGGATGTAGTGTTTGTCTCCCATACACAAGGCCCTGGGTTCCATCCACAGCACCGTGGGGAAAAAAAAATGGAAGGAAATGAAACTCCAATCTGTCCTCATGACTTGCTCTTACCAGATAAGCTAAAATCACAAGCCCAAATACATACATAGAAGCCGCCCGAGTACTTGATAAGCAGAGATCCCGAGCCAGTTTTTCTTGATTTTCTTCAGCATCAGATTCTGAGTTTTCCAAGGACGACTGTGTGTGCACGGCTGTGCTCAAGATGTCACCTAACTCAGAGGAGAGGCTAACACCATCTTCTTCTTCTTCCTAAAATGACAACCAAGCAGAGCCACACAGGCTATGACTTTCCATGCTCCTGTTAGGAATGTAATAAAAGAGTCATTTTTCTACATAAGTACCTTGATTTCTTCAAAAAAGTGTGCCGTTTCTCCTTCTATGATTGGCTGTAACATCTGACCCCGGCGTTTTGTGGAGGGAGACCCCTGTAACATCAGCAACACCAAGTTTTATATTTCACACATTGACAGTTAGTATAACCTTACATTCCTATCATGTAATGCTACTTTCACCTAATAGAGGCACTCAGTCCCCAGCGGCCCCAAAACACAAGCAAACAAAACTCAAAACAAACTAGAAATCATTAAGATAAACACCAAAGTAAAATGAAGTAAAGGTACACACACCCACACACAGACACTCATGGAGTGTGTTTTGTGTTGGCCAACTACTTTTTTGGGTTTTCTTTTTCTTTTCTGAAAGGTTGGGGTTTAGGAAGGCAGGGAGGATCTGGGAAGTTTGGGGGAGGGAAGAATATAATCAAAATATATTGTATGAAAATGTTTTCAATAGAAATAAAAAAAGACATAAAACTTTTCAAAATCGTAATGCATTCCTTAATAAACTCCTATTTTGTTTTTGTAACGCAGCGAAGTCTTCCAGGAGCTCACTCCACACGGCCCATCTCTCACAGTCAAGGGAACAGAGTGGGATGGACGGACGGACGGATAATGAGGGTGAAGACAGTGTTTACTTCAGCCCTCTTCGTTTCACTTTGCAGCACAGGCTGCTTACGTAGATTATGAAATCCTCCTGCCTCAGCTCTCTCACATGTTATGATTATAGGCAAATGCCACCACACCCAGCTAAAGAAACTTTATTCTGAGGTCTGAGAACCCTATAAAATTCTTCTTTAGAAACAAACAAACCAAAAACTAGGGTGTAATATTAACCCTAGAATGCTAGGTAATCATTACACAACGTAACTATATCCTAGCACTCCCTGACTTCTAAGAAAATTGTGAGACTGGGTCATGCTAAGTTTCACCAGCTGGCATCAAACAAACTTACAATCCTCCAGGCAAAGCCCTGTGATTTGTATCTGAGTATTACAGATTTCCATTTTCTTCATGTTAGCATACTCACTGGCCTAACTGATGCTGGAAAATCATGACCTCACAGATTGAAACCACCTTTGACAACACTATAAAACCCCACTTAAAAAAAAAAAAGTTTTTTTTAAATGTACACAAATACGGATAAGCATTTAAAATATTTTATTACATTTCTTTTGTGTATGTTGTATGTGGGGGGAGACAACCTTGAGTCCCATCCCCAACACTCTTACCATGGCACACCCCTTTAAATAAATAAATGATTAAAATCATTTATGTTATAATGTAATTGGAGGTAATAATTATAAATCTATCCAGACACGAACAGAAATAGAGACTAGGTAAGGCACCACGTACAAATACTACTTCTGCCATCTGTGCAGGTAAACCTGCACACAGCATCCCCAGATTTCAGCATTGTTTCCTAACGCCTGTGTTGTTTGCCAAGACTTCATGCCACATGCCTTTAAGTGTTTGCAAGTTGCCTAGAAATACTCACAGGCATTTACCATCCTTTTAAAATCCATTATCTCAACTGAAAACTTTTCATACTTGGCTATGTATGCCTCCAAAAGTACTACTAAAATGTGTTGTTGTTTCATCTGTCTTCCTTCTTAAATATACTTTGTAAAAATGAGTTGAAGAAATACTTGTTCCAGACATGGTCATGCATGACTACAGAACTTAGGAGTTTTTCTTGTTTGGGTTAGTGTGTTCTAAGCCAGTTTTAGCTACAAAGTTGAGACCCGGTCTTTAAAAACAAAATCAAGCATTTGTTTTACTTACAAGGACAGGAGTAATGCTAGCTCTTGTCAGCATCTGTTTTACAAGCCTGTATCTATCATAGAGAGGCTTAACAATGTGCCTTTCTTCCCTGGTCACCTAAAGCCAAAAAAAAAAAAGAAAAAAAAAAAACCAAAACAAAAAAGTGAAGCAACGTAGCCTTACTATCAGAAATCTAGATATCAGAAACAGTAAGCAGTATGACTCCCTCACCCCAAATTTAAGTAGGCAATCTCCCAACTACCGGAAACAATGCTTGATAAAAACAGCTCTAAAGAATACAGACCACCAAAAGTTATTCATGCTCTTTTGTAAGGCAGAAATCAAATTGTCTTAGCAAGAATTACCGGCCTTCCATGCTGACTTTCATAGTAAAGCAGACTTTTCTGCAGAGATGTTTTCTCTTCTATCAAATGATCTTTTGTCATTTTCTAGAATAGGGGGAAAAGCACTGGTGTCATTATTCTTCTCCATGTAATTAGTTAGGTGAGCAGGCAAATGGTTAGTAATATAGACTAGGAAAATACATTTTTTTTTTCTGGATTTGCAGCAACATTTTCAGTCTGCTATACAATCTAAACCTCCTAGTATGCCAATGAATAGCTTTTTATGGCTTCATTTACATTTTGCATGAATTATGAATGTTAGTTTGGGTATCTTAGCCATCTTGTGTTTAATATTCCAATCTATAAATCAGTAATATCCCATTCTTCCTCAAAGGACTCAAAGGACTAAATTCATTGATGTAAAGGCACCTATAACAGTGCTTCTGCATCACACAGGGCACTTTCATACCTGTTTGACATTTTATAATGTTGCAAAGTCTTTTGATATTACAACCACAAATATGGACAGCTAGTTGACTCAGCAAGTTTCCAAGTACCTGACCCACAAGCCTGAACACCTTGGTTCAATCCAAGTTCAGTCTGCAGAGCCAATGGGAAAGGAGAGCTAACTCCTCAAACACCCATATCTACACAGACAGACAGACAGACAGACAGACAGAGAGACAGAGAGACAGAGAGAGAGAGACAGAGAAAGTGAATACAGGCTAGGCACTGTAGTGCATAGGCCTACAATCTACAATCCCAGCATTCCAGAGGGAGAAGCAAGAGGAATCTCGAATTTAAGTCAATGTAGTCTGCATGAGTCCATGGCTCTACTCTACTAAGGAAATCCAAAGCAGTATAGTGTAAAGATCCAAGAGAAAGCTCAATATGTCAATTTGCAACCTTAGACTTCTACTCTATGACCTCATGTTTCCCTTTGCATGGGTGGGCACATTCTTTACAGTGTAATACACTTCTCTTTTAATATTCTGAATGGCAAAACACCCTGGGTATATTTGTATATAAAATTTTCCTTTTGCTCCACAAGCTCAGCCATTATCTCAATGAACCAATTAATGTTCCACAAGATAACTTTCAACTAGACCAAATAAATTACATATTTCCAGGAATGGCTAACAGTTCTCAGTCTCTCACTAGAGGAAATTAGAGATTACAAGCAATTCATCTGAGAGTCACCCTGCATGACAAAATCACTTCAGATTAAATTCATGCACTAGGCAATTACAGAGTGTAGACCTTATAAAATACTGTCATACTATTTTCAAGTTTGAGCCTTAAATCTAGTAGTATAAATCTGAATAAAGCCAATGCAATCCAATTATTTGCAGGAAGAGGAGATTGTTGTCCTAACAAAAAGCAAGAGGAAAAAAAAAAAAAAAGGAGAGATGAGATGAGAATGAGTAACATAGCCCTGTTCAAGGGAAACAAATCCAAAATTTACATCATGAGAGACATATATTATGAAATGTGTCTAGTTCACCAGTTCCTAAACGAAGATTCAGCTGATACTATTTCCCCAGCGATCCCATCTCTCACATGACTTGGTTACCCAATGCTCTGCCTAGATGCCTCATAGAGGGCTTACTTCAGGTGCTGTGAAATCTTAAGAGAGTAAGGCAGAGACCAACAGAACAGGACATGGGACAGTTGTTCTTGGCCTCTATGCACATGGAGGTGCATGAATTCACACGTGCATATACCATACATAAGAGTAACAGTTCCTAAAAAAAATGTAATTCATGTACTCCTGATACCAACAGATCACCTGGTTTTGGGGTTTGGTTTTTGTTGTTGTTGTTTATAGGTTGTTTTTTTGTTTTTCTTTTTGAAGAGAGGGTTTCTTCATGTAGCCCTGGCTGTCCTTGAACTCTTCTCTTTAGACCAACTTGGCCTTGAACTCAGAGATCCACCTGCCTCTGTCTTCCAAGTGATGGAATTAAAAGTATGCACCTCTACTGCCAAGCTTGGTTTTTTAGGTTTCTTTATGTATGTGTATGAGTGCTCTATTTCCATGTATGCCTGCATGACAGAAAAGGGTGACAGATCCCATTATAGATGGTTCTTGCATGTGGGTGCAAGAAATTGAACTCAGGACCTCTGGAAGAGCAGCCAGTGCTGGTAACTTCTGAGCCATCTACACACACACACACACAAAACCTTTCTCCTTTTCTTTTTCTTTTCTTTTCGTCAGGGTGTCATGTGGCCCAGGCTGGACTCAAACTCACTATGTGGCTGAACTCCCAATTCCCTGCCTCCAACTCTCCAGTATTTGGATTACAAATATGTGTCATTATGCCAGGCTTTCAAGACAGTATTTCTTTCAGTGGCTAATATCACATCTATATCTTTCATAGGATTGCTGGAAAAGGGGAAAAACAAAAAACAAAAACCAAATGACAGAATCCACATACTTTATGCCAGATACCAAGAACTTAATACACACAGCTACTGTTCAAACTTAGCCATTTTATGTCTTGTACATGTCTTGCTGACAGTCTGCAACATGCATTAATATACAGAACTCTAGGTTTAAAAGCATATTTTGGAGTTGTAAATCTGAAGGGTAGAAAAGTCAGGATACCTAGCTCTCACCCTGCTATGCTGGTTAATTTGTTTCCAGTGTTCTAAAGGCTACTCCAGGCAGAGACTGTCGCTCAGAATTACCTTGATATCCTCAGGAAGGTGCCGCTCAGCACGATTTTCCTTCAGTCGTTTTGTAATCAGCTCGAGAGTTGCTTCCTTAGATGGCTTCTTCTCTTTCTGAATGACTCTGGGCTCACCTTCACTCTCACCATCGTCATGGTCTAGAGAAGAGCCAAAACTTTTTGGAAGAGTGTTACTCCGAGGACGTGTCTGAGGCACAAATTCTCCATCAGAGTTTTTGTGTTTTGCATCTAAATTTCAGAAATAAGAGGATTAATAATTGATAACATATAGGCTCATATATTTAGCAGACAGTATACTTGTCCTTTCAAACAAGGAGCCCAGGTGAAGCACAATACTCTGATAAGCACTGAAAAGAAGTGAACTCCAGGTTCATAAAAGAGCTGAGCATGGGCAGGGTGTGGTGGCACAAAGCTTTCATCCTAGAACTAGGGAGGCAAAGGCAGGGGTATCTCTTTGAGTTCAAGTACAGCCAGGGCTACAGTGAGACCCTGCCTTAAAAAAAACCAAAAACTTGATTTTTTTTTATTTTTGATGATTGAGAAAGATTGACATTGAATTCTGGTCTCCACACATACACAACAAAAAAATAAAAGTGGGGGAGTCGGAGTTGTAAAGAGAGCGTGCTTTGTGGAGGGAACAATAAATACTAGATGGGTTAACCAAGGCAGTCTCCCTGAACGGTGCCGTTCTGGTTAACATGGAACTAATAAACCTAGCATACAAGACTGAGGGGAAAAGCACTTGTGCCCAATTGAGGCAAAAAACCAGGCAAGTTCCTCCAAATTTGAGAACAAAAAAAAATGAAATAGTAACACAATAAAAACCTAAAAAGGGCAGTATGTGCAAGCCCTTAAGAGCCACAGTCTAGAGTCTGGACTTAGAATAGGCCTACATAGAAAGGTAAACCTACTGAGAGGATTTAAAAAACAGTAACATAGTATTTTTTAAAGATGTTTCTGGTTGCTGTGCCAACGACAAGCTACAGGACGGCAAGAGTGAAACAGAACTGGAACAGGACACTATTTAGGCGATGTGATGCTAACAATGGCTGCAAAGCGGTTTAAATAAGGAAATGCTTAATAGAACAATAAAAGGAAATGAACCTTTTAAAATAAGACTGCAAAGTCTACAAGAGGAATAGTGTCTGAACACTTAATACTTAAAAGATACTAAAATTTCTACACAAGTAAAGTTCAAATGAACAAATCAGAACAATGATACAAACTGTTAACACTGTCTTTACACAGAGAACTTTTAAAGTAGTTGTGATTATTAAAGCATACTCAGAATAAACAGGATTTCATCATAGCAACACTATACTAACATCCAAAAACACATAGCATAATTTATGGTTTAAAAAAATTCACAGATTCTGGAATACATTTTCCATAAAATGCACTTATACCTTTTTTTTTAAATTTTTTTATTGGATGTTTTATTTACATTTCATTTGTTGTCCCCTTACCCCATCCCCCACCCACCCAGGAACCCCCACACTTATACCTTTAATTTGCTTCCGCAACTTTGTAAGCTCTGTCATCCATTTTAATACCTTCGGATTGGCTGCAATGTCACTGTAGGAGGGCTGCAAAGTTATGGAATAGGATCACTGACATTTGTAATGTCCAGTAGTTACGTTAATTTATTTCTTATAGTGTTTACAGTTCCCATAACATAAAATTTCATTCAATTCTCACTTTATTTTAATTTGATGTCAAGCTATTCTAAACTAGGTCATACAACTGGAAGGGGCCAAGTCTGAAGGCAGGTTTTTCATCTCTGGGCATCAGACTTCACATACTGGGTCTAATCATTACAAACATGCACTGTCCCCATTTCCTCCTCCCCTTTTGTTAGCGTGGTTTGTGTTGGAAAAGAATGTTAATTTGTTAATGTAAAGAATTTGGCTTACGAATTCCAAAAAAATGTTTGCACATGGGAACATAGAAACACTGGTACAATACTAAGAACATGGGCACAGAAATCATCAACTAAGGACCCACTGGCTCTCAGGCCTGTATGATCATCACTACTTCCCCAGCATCTCAGACTTCAGGGAAAAACTGGAGCATGCTGTCCTAAGACGGTACCCTCGGCTCTAACATGAATTCAAGTTTGTTCTATGCAACACTACAAACTTACCTTGCTATTTCTTTCCCTTTCAAATTGCTCCTCAAATTGTCTGATTTTTTTCTGAAGTTTCTTGACCAACTGATAAGGTGTTCTATCTTCTCTTTTTTCATCTTTTGAACTGAAAGATGACCTTCGAATTCTGAATTAAAACAACAGGCCAACACAGCAAATTAAATACATTTTCAAGTGTCAACACAGCATTACTTATTGTCCTGCTATGTTCCTATTACCAGTGGAAGGACATTTTACAAGTGAAGGGAGAGCCAGCATGAAGGCATGAGCAAGTAACACAATAATGGTAATAACCATCTTAAGTAAAATTAAATTTCTATTGCTAAAGGACAGTCAATAAATAACTTGGCTACACAGATGGTAACGAAGAGTCTCAGGCTGGAGAGATGAATCTGGCTGCTCTTCCAAGAGGATCCAGGTTCAGTACCTAGCACCCACATGGCATCTATAATTCCAATCCCAGGGAACCTGACACTTTCTTCTGGCCTCTGGAAGCACTACACTCACATACACAAACCCACACACAGAAAAACAAATATATACATAATTAAAATGGGAGGGCAATATAGAATGTATTTAAATGACTAAGATTTCTTATTGACTCCCTGATTGTCATTTAGGCAACATAACCCAGCCTATAGGAAGGTAGTATGCTGTGTTACTGTGATCCTGTCAGAAGTTTTGTATTGTTTATTATTGCTGCTGTTGCTATTATTTTGTGTATTGGTATTATGCCTAAATTATGTTACATAACTATACATATGCCTATACAGCGCTATGTGCCCAGTGTCCTCAGAGGCCAGAAAAAGGCATCACAACTGGAGTTACAGATGGCTGTAAGCCACCATGTGGGTGTTGGAAACTGAGCCTGTGGACACTCTGCAAGAGCATCACTCTGCAAGCCATCTCCCCAACTCCAAAGACTTATAGTACAGAATGCTAGCTGGATGTAAGGAAGTGACGCTGCACACACATTCTCCCATTGAGGTTAAAACCCTGTATTTACATTCAATGCTGAGAATAAAAGCCCTCCAAAAAAGGACACAACAGTAATAGAAAAAGCCACACAAATCATGCAGCTCACAGTAAAGACTTCAAATCGTATCTTGCATTCTGAACTTTACCAATAATAGCTCACTATCATTCCAGATAATATTTCCACACTGAAGCTGTGGAGCTGGGCAAGATGTCTCAGCAGGTAAAGCACTCGCTGTCCAAACCTAGTGCCTTGAGTTTAGTCTTTACCCACAGCGTTAGAAGTGACACAAATCCCTCACAGCACGCACTCCTCGCCCTCTCCCACGATAAATATACTTTTAAAATGACTATACAGTCTTCAGGGGAATCTCTGTGAGTTCAAGGGCAGCCTGGTCTATAAAACGAGTTCCAGGACAACCAGAGAGACCCGTGCCCACATTAGGCAGAGGCAGCAGCTGCCCTGCAGCTGCCCAATGTGGGTGCTGGAATCGAGCTCTGCCCCTCTACTGCTCTTCAACCCTACACAAAGGCTCTTTACTTTTTTTTTTTTTTTTTTTTTTTTTTTTTTGGTTTTTCGAGACAGGGTTTCTCTGTGTAGCCCTGGCTGTCCTGGAACTCACTCTGTAGACCAGGCTGGCCTCGAACTCAGAAATCCGCCTGCCTCTGCCTCCCAAGTGCTGGGATTAAAGGCGTGCGCCACCACCGCCCGGCGTACAAAGGCTCTTTAAAAACAAACAAACAAACAAACAAACAAACAAAGGCACTGGTATTGTGCTACCAAGAGATTTTTTTTCCTTAGTATTATTTCCAATGTTTGCTTGCTCCATTTTTTCCTACAGAAAATATTCAAGGCAGTTTCCTAAGAAGAGTTCAGAGGCCGGCGGGATCACATTCCTTCAGATGGAGTTACACGTGGTTGTGAACTACATGATCTGAGTGCTGAAAACAGGGTTCTCTGCAATAGTAGTGCGCTCTTAGTCACCAAGCCACCTTCCCAGGCCAACATGTGCATGTGAGTGCAGGTGCCCATGGGGGCCACAAAAAGGCATCAGAAGTTGGAGTTATACACGTTGTAAGCCACACAATGTGGGCACAAGGAACTGAACTTAAGTCCTCTGTAAGCACTCTTAGCCTCTGATCCATCTCTCCAGTCACCCCCACCTCAATGTCAGCTCTAAAGATACTCTCTTTCACTGCTACTAGCAAAATAAACTATCGATAACAAAATACGTGTAAGTTGAAATCTTAGGTCTGGGGTATAGCTCAGCTGGTATAGTGCCTTCTTGGCATATAAGGAGCCTTTCTGTTTGACCCTCAACACCATATAAACCAGGCACAACATGCATGCTTGCTATCTTTGAACTCTGGAAATACTTGGGGTACACAAAACCCTGTCTCTAAATAAACAAAAAGTTTTATAATTTCTGAAAAGCAAACTGCTTTTATTAACCAGAGTACTTGTCTGTAGTCATTTACCTATGCAAGTTTTTTCTCTGTGTAGCCCTGTCTGTCTCTGTAAACCAGGGCCTCAAACTCAGAGATCAACCTGCCTCTTCCTCCCTAGTGCTATGATTAAAGGTATGAGCTACCACCTCCAGGCTTGTGCAAGTATTTTAAAGCTCTTATACAACTCGAACTTTACTTTGAGAAAGTTAACCTAAAAGCATCTTGTCATGCTGCTGAGCCTGTAAGGGCTACTACTGCCTCTGTCAGCCCGTGAGAAGAGGCCGCTGAGGGCTTTCTGTGCTTTTAGCATCTGTCCCAGTTCTTTAGCATTCCTTAGTACAGTATGTATCCAGGTCAGCCACCTGGGCGAGCTCTTACCTCAGAATGGAGGCACACCCAGAAGCACTGGGGTGCCTAGAATGAGCCTTTCTATTTATGAGATATGGATAACAGGCTCCACGGTCTGACGACTCAACTTGTTGACATCCCAAAGAAGTCTTTCTCAGCCCAGGGAAAATGTTTTTATTATAGACTATGTTAAGTTTCAACCTATGGCTACTCAAATTTCCTAAAGATGCAGCAGCAACTCTGAAGCTTGCCTCCCTTCATTTGAAGGCATTCTTTGGAAGAGGTTAATAGTCATTAGTGTCTGTTCTTCATGTGCACCATCAAGTGTCTATCTTCTCTGACCAGCAAAAAAAAAAAAGTTTCCCAGAATGGTGCAATGATCAACAGACAAGGGTATTTACTGTGTGAGCCTAATGACCTGAGTATGACAGGCAGACCCCAGGTCATGGTGGAAGGCAAGGAACCGACTCTACTAAGCTGTCCTCTCCCTTTCACATGCCTGTCATGTCACGAGAGCTCTGTCCCCAACACAACATCATAGAGACAGTAATAGTAACACATTTTAAACTTATCTGAATAAAAGCAATCAGATTCCATTTTCAACAGCAAAATTAATTTGTGAAATATGAACAACAAGCTGTGGTGTTGGTTCTTAGCAAACTCTGGTTTCTTGATACTGTTCCAACTCCATAAGCTGAAAAAGGCATTTCAGCTTGAATCTAGAAGACAGAAACCGCTGTCTTGGAACTGCTGAACCAAATGAATGAAGGCATGGGACTCTACAGGAGAGACAACAGTCCCTTTTTCACAAAAGTTCTCTGTGCCTCTGACAGCTTGGACATTTCATGGATTTTTATTGTTGTTTTTCTTTTTTGCATTTTCTTTTTCTATTATTCCCTACCTCATCCCAGCCCCCGACACACACACACAGAATGTAGAGGTCAGAGATCCACTTGGCAGTAGGCACTCAGGCCCATTCTGCATGGCAGCACCTTCTAGAATGTATGTACATTCTTTTTTTTTGGTTTTTCGAGACAGGGTTTCTTTCTCTGTGTAGCCCTGGCTGTCCTGGAACTCACTCTGTAGACCAGTCTGGCCTCGAACTCAGAAATCCGCCTGCCTCTGCCTCCCAAGTGCTGGCTGGGATTAAAGGCGTGTGCCACCACCGCCCGGCATGTATGTGCATTCTATGATGCTACAAGAAGATGTCAGAACCACTATATCTCAATTAAAATTAAGTTACAATTAGAGCAATATAAACTAGTCAGCTTCTCCCTTTCAGAGCTCTGCACTCCAATTATTAGTGAATACATGAGGGCTAAACCACAGGAAACACCCACAGTCTAACAGTAAACCCCAAGTACTACGTAATCTCAATAAATTCAAAATTCAATAGCAGGCGAATGGAGAGACAAATTTCAGTTACAAGCCTGGAAGGATTTATGTACATAGTAAAAACTTCCTCTCAAACGTAAGAGATCACATACCTAGTGAAGGAAAGTGCCTTTGAGGAGAGATCCAATGCTTCTGGATCATGTAGGAAACGCTGGCTTTGCCCAAACTCTAAACACCGATGAGATAATACTGGAGGGCAGTCCTCTCCCAGGGGATGGTGAGTCATCCTGGCAGCCTGTGGAGACAGCTGAGCTTCTCCAGACTCAGAGTCTTCCTGCCAAGACTTAAATGCAGGAAACGGCTCTGTGAAACAAAACACAAGATTATGGGGGTCTTGAGCCTACCTCACTGTACAGTGGGTTCATTTTATATACAGTAGGGAAAAACATCAAAGCAACTAAATACTATCAGTGTCAGGATGCCTGCTGCTTCTACATGCTTCATATTCACTCACTAAGAAATACCACTTAAATGCCTAAACCCACTAACAAAAGCAAACAAAGGACACTATTAACTTTCTTAAATTTAATTCTAAAGATGTTATATAACATAATCCTAATTCAGTATTCTAAAGGTGATATATAGAAAAACATTTTTTCAAATACAAGTGAACAGTGAACAAACTGTCTCTCACTATCAGATGGTGGCTGGCTATATTAAAATATGAAAGTTTTCTCTACACTACACAGAATGCTAAGAAACGGAGCTAATGCCATAAGAATTCTAATATTCCAAATGAGGAGTTAACTTCAGCCTGTCCACAATATGTTAAATAATAAGAAATAATGTTAACTGTTAACATTAATGTTATTTCCTGTTATCAGGTTCCTGTGAATAAGACACACAAACACTTTAATCCCACAATAGTATTTAAATGAAAATGAAACAGCTCTGGCTCTCCTTAAGTACACTGCATACTCTCCACTGAAGCTACATCAATAACAGATCTCTTCTCATACACACCATCCATAAATATGTTGCAAATACAACATTAATTTTAAGCATCACTGGAGTATGAGAGAGAAGAGCTTCTAGATATATCTTAAGACTTAGGACTAAAAAATTAAATCTTGATTGAGATAGCTATTGCAAAAGCAAAAACAAATGGAACATTGTATTAACAGTATTAAAATTTAAAAGTATTTTTCTTTAGACAATAATCAAGATAGCCACTCAGCAATTAAGTTTAATGCTATGTATTAGTCAGTTAAGCATCATCTTTTAATTGTTTTTAGAAAATAATTTACCTTGTCTTTGAGGCCTAGATCATTTCTGTTGACTAAAACTAGGGTAACAAGTATGTAGTCCCACAATAAACTCAACAACAATACAGTGATTTCAAAGCAACCCTTGTACCTGTGTCCCAGCAGATATACTAATAATGAACATTTTATGAGAAATTTTAACATTTTAAGAAAAGAAATCACAAAAACCTTTTTCTTGAGTTTTTAACACAAATGTTTCCTTTGGGGACAGCAGGAGAAGGGCTAATAAAAGACAAACCAAGTGAACCACCAAGGAAAAGCAAAGCTGAGCTGTGGTGAGCCGTACTTACCCTCCCCATCTCTCTGCAGATGCATTGTTTTGAAATCAATGAGGGGGAAAGTGATAAGGCATGACGCTAATAAAATGGAAAAAAATGGCAAGAAATACTAAAGTGAACACACAGACCAGGCAGAACAAACCATACACATAACACAACACCAAGGGCACAAAAGCATTTCCCCAGGACCAGCCAGGAATTCGGATTAGAACCTGCTTCAAAGAAATGACCACTAACAAACTTTAAGCAAACATACATTTCTATTTCAGCAAGTAAGGCAAACTCAAAATTGATTGCTACTAAAATTCAGATACAAGGCCGATGAGCCAAACCATCATAACCATGTACGTTTGAAGCCTTTTAGTATGGTTATCAAAAAGAAAAAACAGCTCTCTTAGAAGGCTGAGGGATGGTATTGCTAAGTGGTGGAGTGTTTCCTGCATCTTGAAGGCTCTAGGTGAAATCCCATGACCACAAAGAGAAAAGAAACAGAGAAAAGTTTCCCTTTTGCTCATGCTTCATAAAAATACTGTTATTGGCCGGGCGGTGGTGGCGCACGCCTTTAATCCCAGCACTTGGGAGGCAGAGGCAGGCAGATTTCTGAGTTCCAGGCCAGTCTGGTTTACAGAGTGAGTTCCAGGACAGCCAGGACTATACAGAGAAACCCTGTCTCGAAAAAAACAGAAGAAAAAGAAATACTGTTATTGTATGTCATCCCAACGTTATCAGCAGAAACACTGAGGGAAAGATGATGTCAACACTAAGACTCTTTAAACAGCTACTACAAATTCATACTGGCCACGGTAGGGATGGATATACAACCTGCCTACCGACTGTGTTCTGCTAACTGCCCTTCGAGAAAAAAATAAAGCCCGCTTACCAGGGAAGAATAAATAAAGGGGGCCGGGATTTGTGGAATCATCCCCCCTTTCTCTACTAGAGTCATATCAAGCAAACAAAATTTGTCTACAGATTTCAAAGTACATAAAGTCTAAAGAAAGCTGTTATCTTGAGATTTAAAAAAAAATCTAACACCTAATTGTAAAAAAATCAATATTTACATTTGTGACAAAGTTAGAATAACATTAATGACATTAATGATAACTCTTCTCTCTCAGGGCTAGGAAGTTCACTCATCTGTCCACTAGCACTGAGGTTCTGAAGATCACTGACCCCACCCACTTAAAAAAGAGAGACCTATATGGACTAATCAAGACTGGTGAGTAGGGGGAGGCACTGAAGAGCAGGAGCAGGGCCTCTCCGTTCCTCTGACAAGAGGTATCTTGACCAGGGGGAATGTCCAGCATCAGGTTCTCCTTGGACAACCTCTAGAAAGCTCAAGCTATAGAGACCAGTCTCTCCACACTCTGGGAATTGTTCCTTCTTTTGTGTTTAGCACGGGGTCAGAGCCTGCGGTCAGAGGTCATTAGTGGTTATTTATTTGCATCGACCCCTAGAAGAGACAAAAGTATCCTAATCCTCATCTTCAGAGACTCCATTCTTACCGAGGTTCCCATGGATGCTCTTTTGACCACTGTGCCTGTCCACTGTTTCCTTTCCACATCCAGGACATGTGATCTTCACTGTCACCAGTACACTAACGTCTCCTAACTCAAGGGAGCCTCTGCATTAATTCTAAGAGTTCTGAATAAGTCAAACAGAGCCAACTTCATCTAGTTGAGGCTAGGCTCACAATATGCCACTGCACATGGCAAAGACAGACACCTAGAATGGCTATGGATGGGGAAGGGTCACAGTAAAGATGGCCACAGACAAGGGTTTGCTAAAAATTTTTAAAGCATGGCTGGACGATAGATTAAAAATCAAGAATACAACATCAAAAAGCCTTACACATTAAAACTATGATCAAATGGCAAAGCAACTCAAGGCACTGGCACTGCAATTCCTCTGGTTATTGCCACTGTGTGTCATCAAATAACTCGCCAAGACACAATCCCAGAGGCTCTAGACATAGGAACAGAAACTGGGCTTAGGACTCCTGAGTTGTCTCATTTTCTCTTATTAGGAAGGTTGATGGCTGACAGATTCACGGATCTAAACCGGTTGTTAATTTTCCCTTCTCCAATATCTTACTTTATGGTTGATAACAATACAGCACACAGTGCTGACAGAGGCTCTAACCACTGACACTGTACCACATTTGTTACAGTAGTTATCGACTTCATCAGCCATCTTATGGACTTCCAAGGAAATAATAGATTCTTGGGTGTTTTTCCCAAGTAAATACTTTAGCATGTAAATAGTTCACTTTAGTCCCTTTTTTGTTTATAATTTATGGAATCTTTAATGTAAAACCTTTACCAAAAATTTTCAGTATAAATTTGCTAAGTTTTAAGAAATTTTAACGTATCCCCAAAATACTTTCTCAATCTACATAATACAATGTTTGCTTAGAAGTACCAGTGAAGAATTAAAAACATAAAAACCTGTTGCTAATGATTATAAGGTAGCTAAATACCCTGTTTAAACTGGTAAAATCATCAAAACTTTAATACACTAAACTTTTGAAGATCAAGAGATGGCATCTGATTTAACAATTAACCTATTGTATTCTAATCTAGGACACTTTTTATTTTTAATCAATTTTGATCTTTAATTGAGGGAGGTGTGCTGGAGGTGGGGTGCTGAGATGGCCTGGTCTTGTAACTCATGCTCATCTTGCTCTCCCAAATGCTGAGGTCACAGGCATGTGCCACTGCTCCCTTTGGCAGCATCAAAGCTAATAATCTAGTTTCATTCTACCCATGAGAGAACTACCCTACTAGTATACTTGGGAAAAGCAAAACAAACAAACTTTTTTTTTTAAAGAGAGAACAGATCAGGATGATAAATACTGTCCAGAAGAAGGCAGGAGTCTTGTCATGGTTTGGGTTATTTCAATTACAAATAACAGTATTTTAGAAATTAACATGCTTGGGTAAAATTACCTTCCCATTTATCACCATCAGAAACATTCTTCAGATCTAAATGTGCAATTTGTATGCATGCTGCTTCTCCTTGAACACCAACACTCTGACCTTCGGTTACTTCTGATTCAGTGTTGGCATTCAAATCACGCATCTTGCTGCTAGAATCCTGTATTTTAAAATAAAGAATGCATTTCATAACCACGACTCTTCACAACTGGCTCAGAGACAATCTGCACGCACATATCCCTATGTATTTTTCATTACAAAACCAACTGCCCAATTTCTACTTATCTGTGCACAGGGGAGGAGGTTGTGCTTGCACCTATATTATGTGTACCACATACATACCTAATGCCCAGTGTGGCCAGAAGAGGTCATCAGATCCTCTGAGACTGGTTATAGATGGGTATGAGACACCATATGAGTGATAAGAATCAAACCCAGGTCCTCTAGAAAGGTTTATTTGTTTATGCATTTTATGTATATGAGTGCTTTGTTTGCTTGTGCACAACAGAGAGAAGATGGCATTGAATCCTACGAATAGACAGTTATAAGCCACCAAGTAGTTTCTGGGAATTGAACTCAGGACCACTAAAAAAGCAGATCAGTTAGTGTTCTTAATGGTTAAAGCCATCTCTCCAGCCCCAAGCAAACTACACTCAATTGTAAATTTGTACTTTATAATGTCTTATTAGGAAACCAAATTTGAGTCTCAAATGTAGGAAAGTACTTTCAAAAGCCATAATTTTATAACCACATCAATTATTGCTTAACTTTTAACTTATCCAATATAAGAACTAAAGGCTAGGGCTGAAGAAATGGTTCAGTGGTTAAGAGCACCAACTGCTTTTCCAAAGGTCCTGAGTTCAATTCCCTGCAACTATCAGTAATAGGATCTGATGCCCTCTTCTAGTGTGTCTGAAGACAGCTCCAGTGTACTTATATGAATAAAACAAATAAATAAATCTTTAAAAAAACAAAAAGCAACAACAACAAAAAAAAAAAAACCCTAAAGGCCAGATATAATAACCAGCACATTAAGCAACTTTTTTTTTTTTTTTTTGGTTTTTCGAGACAGGATTTCTCTGTGTATCTGTGTAGCCCTGGCTGTCCTGGAACTCACTCTGTAGACCAGGCTGGCCTCGAACTCAGAAACCCACCTGCCTCTGCCTCCCAAGTGCTGTGATTAAAGGCGTGCACTACCACTGCCTGGCCCATTAAGCAACATTTTTAAGAACTATAATATAAAGATAGTTCTTACCAGAATCAAGTGTGGCAATTTATCACTGTCACGTAATAAATATTCCTTCCTAAAAACACAAATATAGTTATTAGCATATAAAGAATAGAAAGGTTACTTTTATTACTTCTTACCTAGATTGTTTCTTCTCTTCCCCAGTAATAATTAGCACTTAAAATCTGAGAAGGAAAAGTTACCAATAGGGCATATGCCCATTCTTTGGAGCCCTATATCTGAAAAATCACACAATACTGAAAAGATCCACAGACTCACTTCAGGTTTAGAAAATTAATACTCTCTACCACTCCCTCTCCACATAAACTACCCCCAAAATAAAAACTTTATGAAAAGAAAATTAAAAACCAATTACAGCAGCCAGTGAGAACTGATGCAAATTAGAAAAAGAATCCATAAAGTAAATATTAGTTTACCAACAGGTTTATTCTATCCATGCAACGATTTGTAAGGAAGCTTTGGTCTGCCCTTTCAGGCTGAGCACTATCACAAGTGTACACTGCAATCCAAGGTCACACTAAAGGGGAGGGGGGGACTTAATTCACCTTGTAGTTCCCCCAGAAAATGAACCTCTATTAAATAATCATGTTGCAAGTTGTCACAAACAATCTCAACCTTTTTGGCCATTAAATAAAGCAACTGTTACTGATGCCCACAATAGGAAATTCTCCTCAAACAGATCTGTGTTAATTTAAAATACATATACCTAAGTGCCTCTTTAAGTGGTGAGCACTTGGAAGACAAGCCTTGATTTAAACACAAGAAGTTATCTCTTTACATGCAAGTATGTTACCCTCAGTGGCCTGAGAAATAAACTAAAGTCCCTGAAAGGTTCAAGGCTTTCCTTTTTAAGAGGTTGGGTGTGGGGTATCAAGACAGGGTTTCTCTGCGTAGCCTCTGGCTGTCCTGGAACTAGCTCTATAAACCAGGCTGCACTCTTTTACACCTACCCTTGCCTTACAAGTGCTGGGACTAAAGGTGTGTACCACCACCACCAGGCTTCTTCAACATCTTTTAATTTAGGCTAAGAGCAAATGGCAGTAGAATAAGTTAGATTTGTTCTCAAAGACTTACTCTGAAAGACATAACTATCTTAATCTGAAAAATGTTGAGTATTAACCATGCAAAATGCAATCCACCTAGACAAAGTACTCTGGATCTACAACACGTTTGCTAACCTAGATACAAGTTGAAGAGAAAAGAATGTTCCAAAAAGACTGGGCCCTCACTAAATAGATACTTATTGCTCTACCATATCCCGATGTCATCTTTCTGGGGATGCCTGTTAATCTTATATCTTCAGCCCATAGCTCCAAAACTCCCTGGGCTGGAAGAGGATCAGTCCTGCCTCCTGAAAGGAAGCACAAGGAACTGCTGTAAGCAGGAAAACTGTGGACCTTCAGAGTATGAGGACACTCCAGAGACATGGCTCCAAAGAATTTACTTACCCTCCAACAACAGGTTTTTACTCAAAAGCAACAGCATTAAAACATTACCTGACCAACAGGCTATCGGTAAAGCAGAAATGAAGTAGCAGAGCCTCCATTACTGAGTCTCACCTTTGTTAAGACTATGAAGATATACATACTGGCGGCTTCTGAAAGAATGATGCAAAGGGTAGCAAGACCCAAGTGACTGGAAAAAACTCCTATCCACTGACTAAAACACCTTTTCCTCAAAGGGACTGTATCTGAGGAGACACTACATTTGGTGGATCTCATTTTCTCAGACATGTTAACACGGATGGGGGTGAACAAGCACCAAATAGAAAGATTATCCTTGGACACTGAGGATGAGTAGCAGGGACCAAAAACATCCCACACTTACCATCGAAGCAAGTAGTTTATATATTTTTGGTTGGCTGGCCACAATTCCCAATCAATTAACTCACTGATGGGCCTGTTTTCAGTATCAAATTCTCAAAGTTTTTATTATCTCTAAAGAAGCTGTGCTCTCTGACTATGTTCATAACTAATGTTGTCTGCAGCTAGGAGACTATTTATGGCTCTTAATATGTCTACATCTACTATGAAACTGAAGAAGCCTCGTCGTCTTTTTACCAGACTGTCTTATAATGTATAGATTCACCCAAAACTTTCAATCAAAGATCTGTGAAGAGCTTGTTCCAATTCTCAAAACAATTTTTTAACAACAAAAAAAGCTTACCTCTCAGGACAGCCATCTTCACTATCCCCGTGGTCACTACAAGGCTCTAACAGTATACCTACAGGCTGACAAAAGAATACCACCACTGTTTATCAGCTCCCCACACTCATTCGTCAGAGAAAGATGCCAATCTAGATTAGGACATTTGAGCAGTTCTTTACACAAAGTTTACCCTCCTTCAAAATCTGAAACATTAAGCATTTGCAGGGACGTTGGTTTCTCTCTCTCCTTGTAAGTAATAATTACTAGTATCCTCTTTTCCTTAGAATTCTCTTTTGGCCAGGCAGTGGTAGTACACAACTTCAATCACAGCACATGGGAAGTGGAGACAGACAGAATTCTGTGAGTTCAAGGCCAGCCTGATCTACAGAGTGAGTTCCAGAATAGCCACCAAGGCTACACAGGAAAAACTCTGTCTTGGGAAAAAAAAATTTTTTTTCTCCTTTAAAAATTACAGTTCTGAACTGTATTTGGTATGGTTCAGTGGTAGAGCAACTGCCTAACATAGGAAAGGCTCTGGCCTGGGTACATTTAAAATAACTTCTTTCCTGGAGGGGTTTGAGGAGTGAGCCTCAGGAGTACAGAACAATCTACTTTTCAATGAGTCTATTAATACTACCTCTGACAAGAAAACCAAGTGTGGCGGCACATGCCTGTAATCTCAACATTCAAGGGGCAGAGGCCATTAGACTCAGAATTTGAGCTCATCCTAAGCTACAGGCAGGCATAGGCTGTATAAATGAACAAAATAAAAACCTCCCAAATATAATACAAATCCCTTCAAAATTACTACAAAGTGTATAATCATTTTCATATTTGTTATAATCTTTAAAATCAACAAAAACTTTGATTCTTTTTTTTTAAATTCATTACTAGTATGTGTTTGCATGTGTATAGATTAGACGACAACTTTCAGGAATTGGTTGGCTCCCTCCTCTGTGGGTTCTAGGGACCGATAGGCTTGTGTGGCATGCAATTCTATCCACTGATCCCTCTTGCCAACCTTCTTAGACTCTATAGAGGCTGCATTTCCAACTACATATCTCCACAAGGTTGTGAACTGTTTGCTACTCTCCATCCAATCAAATCTACAGCAGTGTACTGAAACAAAAAGCAAATGAGACTCCTCCACCTGTCCTCTCAGCAGGCATTAATTATATAACAAACGTAAATCAATGGAACCCCACAAATTAAAACCTTTTATGAGACCAGCTTTTTTTTTTTTTTTTTTTTTTAAGTGGTATCTAGGGAAAGAGCTTAGCCAACAGTGTCTCTCTACAAGCATGAAGACCCAAGCACCTACATAACAAGCCAGCCCCAGCACTGGGGAAGCCGAGTCGAGAGGGTTCATGGGACTTACTGGCTTCTAAATCTACCAAAGTGCCAAGCTTCAGGTTCAGCAAGAATCTCTGTCTCAAATAATAAGGCAGAGCGTAATAAGGAGGAGACCTGACGTCAACCTTTGACCTCCGCATGCATATGCACACGTGCAACTCACACCAACTTGGATGAAAGGCCAGTCAAACATGATGGAACCCATAGCCCCAACTATTCAGAGGATAACAGACTAAAACTGGGAATAGATTCAAGCTACACTGGGCAACAATGAGAGAGTGCTTCAAAGATAGAGTAAGGGAAGAAAGGAGAGAGAAGAAAATAATCCCGTTAATAGTATCATGACTAGGAGGGCTAAAGAGGTAGCTCAGTGATGCTCTTGCAAAAAAAAGGGCCAGGGTTCAATCCCCAGCATCCATACAGCACATCTGTAACTCCAGTTCCAGAGGATTTGACATCCTCTTCTGGCCTCTAAGAAAAAAAACTCCACACATGTGGTGCATATACATTCAGACAGGTGGGTGGGCAAAGCCCATACACATAAAACAAAAATAAATGAAAAAAATAATTATGAATGCATTTATTTCTTTATTAATAAAGTTAATTTTACTTCTAACACTGGTATATCCTTATTTTTTAAAAACATAGGATTTTCAATAAGTTTTATTTTTAAAAGATAAAGAAATTCAGTGTGAAAGAACCTACTATCTAAAAATCGAAAGTTATTAGGAATGTAGATTACATTTTCAAAGTTTCTATGTATTATTAGGTCAAAGTTAGGATTCTACCTAGAGCTGACAGGTCCCTGCTGAAAATCAGCAGGATGAGAAAGCAAATACAAATCCAACAAGAAAGAAAAATAGCCACGGAAAGCCTCAGAAACCCAGATTCCACAGCAGACAGAAAGGATGACAGCCGATAAGCCCCCACCCATAACAGTAGATGGTAACCAGCCCACATTTTATACCAGCACCCAGCCCAGAAGGAAAAAAGCTCCAGGCTTTCCTTTTGTCACCAGAGTGACTCTACTGCACACCCCACAGGAGTATCCACACAATAAAGATCCTATTCCTTCCACCTGAGTCTTGCCCCCATACCTCTCAAACCAGTTTGCTCTCTGTTCTCCCACCACTAGGCACATTAAAAAAATCCAGTATTTCATGCCTTAGTTTTTAAGACAGAATTTAAAAAATAGATTATGCCGGGCGGTGGTGGCTCACGCCTTTAATCCCAGCACTTGGGAGGCAGAGGCAGGCGAATTTCTGAGTTCGAGGCCAGCCTGGTCTACAGAATGAGTTCCAGGACAGCCAGGGCTACACAGAGAAACCCTGTCTCGAAAAACCAAAAAAAAAAAAAAGAAAAAAGAAAAAAAAAAAAAAGATTATGCCGGACATAGTGGCATATTATTCCAATACTGATGAGGCAGAAGCAGTCAGACCTCTGTGAGTTTGAGGCTAGCCTGGTCTACATAATAAATTCCAGAACAGCCAGGGCTACAACAGAAAAACCCTGACTTGTAGAGGAGAAGTATGATTATCAGAAAATCTAGCCGGGCAGTGGTGGCACACGCCTTTAATCCCAGCACTTGGGAGGCAGAGGCAGGCGGATTTCTGAGTTTGAGGCCAGCCTGGTCTACAGAGTGAGTTGTTCCAGGACAGCCAGGGCTACACAGAGAAACCCTGTCTCGAAAAAAACAAAGAGAGAGAGAGAGAGAGAGAGAGAGAGAGAGAGAGAGAGAGAGAGAGAGAGAGAGAGAGAGGAAAATCTAGAAACCTGTATTATAAAACAAGCTATCCTGTCACCAATTCTCATTTAATCTATACTTTTACTTTTGAAATAACTGAAACAATGTGTGTCTCTTTCTTTGAAACAAGGCCTAACCTACATTAGCCTCCAACTAGAGATGCCTCATTTCTAGAGCGCTACATGTGACACCATGCCTAGCTCTGTGCAACTGTTTTATTTTGATTTTATTGGGGTGGAAGAAGTAAGGGGTGCTGGAGAATCAAATTCAGGACCCTCTGAAGCTAGGCAAGTACTCTGCCAATAGCCACACCTCAGCTGTCTTAATTACTTTTCTACTGCTGTGACAAAACACCATGACCAAGTCAACTTGGAGTCCATAGCCATCTTGGCGTGGACCATGGCAGCAGCAGGCAGGGGCGCTTAACCTCTGATCCACAAGTAGGAGGCAGAGAGCTAACTGGGAATGGTGTGGGCTATCCAGCCCAGTGACACATCCTCCAACAAGGCCACACTTCCTAACCCTTCCTAAGTAGGGATCAAATATTCAAACATATGGGCCTATGAAGGCCTTTCTCATTCAAATCACCACACCAACCCTAAGTTTATTTAGTTGGAGACTAAATAAATAAATAATTTATTTAGTACGGTTATATTCCCCTAAACTGACATCACTCTTGCTTTGTAGCCTAGGCCAACCTAGTAGTAATCTTCCTGCCTCAGCACCACCCTGAGATTATATACGAATCACTATGTGTGGGGATTGTGTAAGGGTATCTTGGTTTTTGGTTGGGCATGGGCCTGGAACCCCGAGACTCCAAGGGAGAAACGGCAGGCATTCGGCCATGTCTCCAGAACCCAGGGTCCTGACACGCAGTCCACTCTCCATGGACCTACATTGTTCAGTCACGTAGGCCATTACAGCCCCTCCCAAAGTGTACAGGTAAAGAGTAGGACTACAGGCCTCAGGCCCTAGAGAGATTTACATACTAATGAAGGCTAAAGGGCAGAGCAAATTAAGCATTCTTCCCAAGACCCTCCCCCCTCTCCCTCCCTATTTAACTCAGGTCTGCCCTGAGTTTGGGGGGAGAGGGGAAGGGGGTACATCCAGATCCATCTATGAAAATAAACCCTATTGGAACCAAGGACTTCCTCATGTCATTGGGGCCTGCCTTCACCAATGCCCCCAGTCTCTGGAACCTACCTTACACTTTCTCCTGTTTGTGGGACCCAATGCGTTTCTGAGACACCACCACTGCGACCTATTTACCCACAACTATGCCCAACTTTTAAATATGCTTTTCAACTACTGAATAAATAAAAAGGCAATTGGAAGCAATACAAAAGAAAAGTAAGGGCTGGAAAGAGTAGTCAGTAAAGTGCTTGACTTGCAAGCATGAGGACCTGAATTTTGATCTCCAAAATACTCATCTAAACAACAACAAGCACCCCTTGGGAGGCAGAGACAAGTGTGTCCCTGTGTGTCCCTAGTCCTCAATGGCTAGCTAGTCTAGTCTGTTAGATACGATGTCTCAAAAGAAACAGACCAACTCTATGGGAATATTAAAAGTTGTCTCCTAGCATGTACACATGCACATACAGAGAAAAATGACATGAAAACTATTCTCATGCCCAGAACCATCTGTAGAGGTACACACCTGTAATATAAGCACTTGAGAACTATAAGATGTCTCAAAAAAAAAAAAGAAAAAGAAAAAAAGAAAAAAATGACACATGGACAATTTGCTCTTTTTCCTGTGAGTAAGTTACTGTCTTCCTTCCTCCCCATGTGCCTTTTTAGCAGTCCCCCACAGGGACTTACAGCACTCTGGGTCTCAACTCGTCCCTCAGCTAGAGAGCCCAGGTAGCAAGGGGAAAATCATAATGAGACGCACCTTCAGCAAAAAGGCCTTCCTGCCTCTCCAATCATAAATCAACTTTCTCCTCTTTAAGAAAACTTACACAGGGATGGCAAGATGGCCAGGAA